ATAGCAAAATGAGCTGGAAGTTCAAAGTTATGAAAAAAGAACTCATAAAGGAATTTAATTATTAAAATCAAGTAAAGGAAAACACAAGAATTTTACTTAAGGTGTTCTTAAGATACAAAGTGGTAAACTTATACAGTTAATATATTTATTTTGATTATGTATATCTTAGAGCAAATACACTGAAACTCAAAGTTAGGAGGGTCCAGAATCAAAGTAATTACTTTATTGAACAATTATAGTGTTACATCAGAGCTCATAGATTGGTGAGCATATCATGCACTGTCTTTGAGAAAATCCTGCTACCAATTCTTTCAGCCATTCTGTTTTTATTGGACACATTGTGTGTGAAACCCAAACCCTGGGCCATCAACTCCCAGTTTTCAGAAACATGTCAGGTAAATCTTAAATTTCAAATGAAAACTCCTAAATTTGAATTTAGAGCCTGGAGTACTTAAAGAACAAGCAAACAAACAGAGGAATGAGTTTTAAATGTGATGCAAAATATCTGATAGCTTGGAAAGTTGAAATAAGTACATCACAAAATATAGAAGTTAGGAAAATCTCACCAATAGCTAATATTTCCTTTCTAATAATATCCACAGAGATGAGGATAGGCTGAAATTTGGCTCAACTTGTCTTTTGAAGACATTTAAAAATTATTAGCTCAAAACTGATAAAGCAATTAATATTTAGCAGACTTGAGGACAAGTCATTTGTCAACTTTAGAAGATCTACTTATACATTGAATAGACATTAACAATGACTTTTCCAATTCTCCCTCAAAAGTTTACATTAGACTAAAGTTATCTCCTTTTTTAAGTTTGAAAGTAATAACATTACGTTTTTAAAACCTTCCCTAATCAGAATTTCACTAAATTTGAACCCAAACTCCTTTAATTTATCTTAGCTATTGATGGTTTTATGATATATTTCTTTAGGAATAAGGGTTAGAAACAATGAAGGGTCCAAAGTCTATAAAAACAATGCAAAACAAATAAATAAAATTTTCTAAATTTTGGTGGAAAGGTTAAATAGATTTTCTATCTTATAGTTGTATTTAACAATTTTTGTAAGTTATAGCACTCATTTTATCCATCTGTCCCCTGATATCTAATTGCTTGAAAGACATTATATATTTTAATAAATTTGTTTTATTAGCCAGAACTGCAACTGAAGCTTAAGATAGTTCTTGAGGTCTCTGAGTAGAAAATCACCTTTCTCTCAAACTTTATAACAAATTCACTTTTGGTCTAACAATATCTGTGAATTCATAAATGCACAGGCAATAAGAGTTAGGTTTTTTAAAAAAAAACTTTCAAAATTGAATCTCACATACCAGTGTATATTAAGGAGAATGAATTTTCCTAATTACTTAATGACTTGACTGCAAATGTGGATGATCCCAGTGGGCCATTCTAAAGCCATATTTATACAACCAATAGTGCAGTGTGTAGAATTTATCTAATTCTACCAGCAATGAAATTCCAATTACTCTACTACTTATATCCACCTACATTTTTAACCACCAACCATATGCACTAAGATTATAGAGGCAATAGCAAGAATGATCATGCTGTCTTGTTTTAGTTTTCTTTAGCTTCCTTTGCCCATCTCAGATCTCTGTTGTTACCTTCAAACTGCTAGAGAATCATCTGTATGATTTGTTATCCCTAAATTGTTGTCCACAGCCTCTATCACTCTGTTTTGCTCTGATCCTAGCTTAGATTTGACTTGGCAAACAAACTACCAAGTATGTAATTTTTAAATTTTTATTTATTTATTCATTTATTTATTTTTGGTACCAGGGATCATACCAAGTACATATTTTATATAAAATTAAATAAAATATTTTATTCTGAGAAAATAAGATAGTTTTATAGTTTTCCTGCTATTCATCTACATGACATTATTTTTTTTTCTTTTTTTTTTTTATTGAGTTTATTGGTACATTTAGGGATACAGTACAGTTACATTCATTGTTGGGATCATGTACCTTTACATGGCAAGTCTTGATTCTCATTTTTTTCCCCTTACCTCTGCCCTCCCTTCACCCCCTCCTCCCCTCCCCATCTACACACACTTTATTTTCATCTTTTCATTCTCTCACATTTTTTTCTTTTCCCTTTTTGTTCTTCCCCTACGTATCACACCTTCCCTACACCTTTAGCTCCTTTCCTCCCATTTCTAAAGGTCAGTAATCTTATTAGAATCTTATGCATTGTTGCAGAATATTCACACCAGGGAAACTATTCGGTATTTACACATGTGGGACTTATTTATTTCACTTAGGAGTATATCTTCAATATGTATCCATTTTCCTATGAATGAATCTATTCTCTCGCTCTTTATGGCTGAGTAATATTCCATTTTATAGAAAAACCACAACTTCTTTATCCAGTTTCCAACGGATGGGCAAATAGGTTGTTTCCAAGATTTAGCTATTACAAACTGTGCCGCTATAAACATGGGTGCACATACTTCTCTGTGATATGATTCTTTTAGTTCTCTTGGAAAGATACCCAACAGAGGGATGGCTGGGTCAAATGGAACCTCCAGTCCAAGCTCTTTGAGGTATCTCCATATTGATTTCCATAGTGGTTGCACTAGTCTGCACTCCCACCAACAATGGAGGAGGGTTCCTTTCTCCCCACAACCCCGCCAACATTTGTTATTGTGTGATTTCTTGATAGCAGCCATTCTTTGTGGGGTGAGGTGGAATCTCAGTGTTGTTTTCATCTGCATCTCTCGAATGACCAGTGATGTGGAACATTTTTTCATATATTTTCTTGCTGCTTTCACTTCTTTGTATGAGAAATGTCTGTTCATTTCGGATGCCCATTTTTGGATCGGGTCTTTATATTTGGGGGGACTGATTGTTTTGAGTTCTTTATATATCCTTGATAATAGTCCTTTGTCTGAGGTACAGCTGGTAAAAATTTTTTCCCACATTGTAGATTGTCTCTTAGTTCTGCTAATGGTTTCTTTTGAAGTACAGAAGCTTTTTAGTAAGATGAGATCCCAGTTGTTGATTCTTTCTGCTAGTTCCCGTGCTACTGAGGATTTGTTCATAAAGTCTTTTCCTATACCAATGTACATGACATTATTTTTTATTTGATTTGCAGGCCTTTTCTACTCCCTACCTCAATCTGTAGACTATCAATAAAAGTCAGTAGTTACAGGGTTAGAAGGTGTTATATACTTAAATCCTGCAAAAAATAAAACATTCATGCTTTGTACTCTTAATTACAATATATCACACTGTGCTAGTGTTTCATCACATCCATCTTGCCTCCCCAGAATCAGCAATTAGTGACCTATGATGACTCCTGTGGCTGGAGTGAGCAGAAATCAGAAGAAGACTGTTAACTTCACAATAGTACTTGAGTGATAGGCATTCAAGATCTTGACACAAGCAGAGAAAATAGAATAGCAATGTAAGCAAGTCAAAAGCTGTCTTCTCTGTCTCATTAGCTGTCACCTGGACCCAGGAGCAGCTCACTGAATGTAGTGAGTTGACTAATGAGCAACTTGGAATGCACCAGCTGAACAAAGTCAGTGTGACCAGGGTGTGGAGGATCCTCCTGAAGATTATTATCAATAGCCATAAGAAGAACTGGAGGGGAAGTTCTTCACCTGTTAATTTTCTTGCAGAAGGTTGCTGTGGATTTTTCTTTCTCATTGAGTTTATTGGTACATTTTAGGTATACAGTACAGTTACATTCATCATTGGGATCTTGTACCTTACACAACAGGTCTTCATTCTCATTTTTTCCCCTTATCCCTGCCCTCCCTTCACCCTCTCCTCCCTTACCTATTTACAAATACTTTATTTCCATTTTTTTGGTTTTTTTTCTTTTCTTTTATTTCCTTTCCTCTACCTTCCCACTTCCCCTACACCTTTAGCCCTTTTCTTCCTATTTCACATTGTCAATTATATCATTAGGATCTCATGTACCATTATAGTTTTTCACACCAGAGAAACTATTCAGTATTTATACATCTGTGACTTATTTATTTCACTTAGGAGTATATCCTCAATATGCATCCATTTTCCTATGAATGGCTCTAATTTCTCAGTCTTTATGGCTTAGTAGTATTCCATTTTATAGAAAAACCACATCTCCTTTATCCAGTATCCAACTGATGGGCAAATGGGCTGTTTCCAAGTTTTAGCTTATATAAACTGTGTTGCTATAAACATGGGTGTGCATATATCACTATGGTATGATTCTTTTAATTCTTTTGAAAAGATATCCAGCAGAGGGATGGCTGGGTCAAATGGAACCTCTAGTCTCAGCTCTTTGAGGTCTCTCCATATTGATTTCCATAGTGGTTGCACCAGTCTGCACTCCCACCAACAATGGAGAAGGGTT